GTTGAACCAACCTAAATAGGAAAGGGCTTCAAGCCCAGCTCATTCTTTTCATTATGTTGTAAGTGATTTAGGGATAGTTATTTCCAAATAAAGTGCTGGATTTGATGACCCCAGAGCTCCCTCCCAGGTCCATGGTAATTAATGTAGCCAAAATAACCAACTGGCTTAATTCAAAGTCTATAGCTGACAAACTGGTTAGCATATGGAGCTCAAGGTAGCCAAAGTCATGGAATCCTTATATGGAAGTGTTACAACAAGCTTGGTCAGAGGTAACATCTTCAAATCCAGACAAACAGATCTCACAAATGCATGCATGCTTAAGGGAGACCAGGTAATAGTACAGATAGATAAATACAAATCCTATCCCAATACTGGAACAAAACATATCTTATTAAAGCAAGATAGCAGTACATTTCTCTATAAAGATAACTTGATTGATACTTTGACATTTACTTATTAAATGGACCCATTCTAGAAGTGGTGCCAACTATTCCAACTTACAGTAGAGGGGAAAGAGGGCAAGTCATTTACATCTTGGGCCTCAGTTTCCTCATCTATAAAATGAAAAGGCTGGACTAGATGGCCTCCAGATCCCTTCTAGCTCTAGATCTACGATCCTATAAGTTCACTAAATAACCACACAATGGAACTAAATGAAGACTAACCAGTTTACCCTCTAATTTTTATCCCAAATCCATTCAACGTGATCATAGTTCCTCTATTCATTGTGGTATGGAATTTTTTTTTTAAGGCATAAAAATTTTAATAGTAGTTTGCTCTTCCTGCCCCCTTTTAATATAAGGGGCAATAACATTCTCAACACAAAACCTGCACTTAGACAAATAATGGAAAATCAGAGAAAATAATCCATGTATTTCTAAAATTATTCAGAAAAATATAGTGCATATTATGTTAATCACTATAACTTGTTTTAAGTAAGACAATTTAAAAACCAGAAGTGGACCACAAGAATTCATTTAAATGGGATATGTTATATGTGATATCTCAGAATAAATTTTAAATTACTCATACAGCAGGTTAACAGAAAGAGATAAGATAAATAAGGGTGGATTATTCATTTTACAAAAAAAGACTGTTCGCATTAGAAAAGGATTCACTGTAAGTTACCTTTAAATAGCAAACTCTCCTAAAGCATTTATGAGATACCTCAGTTTGATTTACATTTAACCTTCTAGGTATGTCTACTTATAAAGCCAGGCACACCAGTACTTTTAAATGTCTTTACTGATTAAAAAAAAAGTTTTTACAACACTTTTATTTCTGAACTGTTGCTTTTTACCCCTCTGAGAGAATCACCTCTCATAACAAAGAAAACAGAGGCAAGAAATAGTTCAAAACTAACCAACATATCAACCAAGTACATATTATGTGAAGTGTTCCATACTTATGTTTCCCTCATCTCCATAAAGAAGGGAGGGAAAGGGGAAGCTAGGTGGCACAGTGGATAGAACAGCAGCCCTGGAGTCAGGAGGACTTGAGTTCAAATCTGGCCTCAGACACTTACTAGTTGTGTGACCCTGGGCAAATCACTTAACCCCACTGCCCAGTAAAAAAAAAAAAACCACAATAAAATAAAATAAAAAAAGGGAAGGAAGCAGAGTTCTCATATCTCTTCTTGTGATGGTCATTACAAATTTATAGCAGTAAGTTGTTTTTTTTTTTTGTTGTTCATTCCATATATACTACTGTAGTAAGAGTACAAATTGTCTTCTTGGTTCTGCTTACTTCACTTTTCATTAGTTCATTCACATCTAACATCCACGTTTCTCTGTGTTCATCATTTCTTACAATATAGAAATAACTTATTACATTCATGTTCCACAACACCTTTAGTTACTCCCCAATTTATGGGTATCTGCTTTGTTTCCAGATACCAATAGAAAACACGATGCTATAAATATTTTGGTGTATGCAGGACCTTTTTTTTGTTTTTAAATTACTGTCTTGGAGTACATGTCTCCCAATGAAATCTCTATAGCAAAAGTCCCTAAATAAAAACTGTTACATCATTAAAAAAAAAAACTGAGGGGGAAAATGGATGGAGACACCATTCACAATATAGCTGGGAAAGAATCCTTAACTAAAAAAGAGAGAAAGGAGATCACAAGGGTAAAATAAACGGTACTTATTACATGAATCTGAAAAGCTTTTGCATAAATAAAACATAGCCAGGATAAGAGAGCAACTAACCGAGAAAAAAATCTATACTATCTATCTCTGATAAAGGTCCAAGATACATGTAGGGAATTAATTCGTTTAAGAGGCCAAAAGTCTTTCCCTAAAAGATAATTAGTCAAAGTAAACAAGCAGTTCTTATTCCAAATTGTGTTTCTTATGACATACTCAAAAGAAAAACAAATGGAACTCAGCAACTGTTATGTCACAGAACATTAAAGAAGACTTCAATGATCATGTAAGTTCCAATGCCTCTACTTTTTTTAATGTTCTATTAAAAATTTAGCTGTGACCAGCAGTACAACTCAACTTGCTTTGTAACTATCTGTATTTAAATTAATTTGAACATAGCATGTATCTCAATAGTATTTTGGTAACTTCTAAAACCCCATCAGAATTTTTGGTCCATTCATTCTCATTCACTTTTCCTCAAGTGGTCGTGAGTGTTTCTTCCAGTTTTGTTTTTTCCACTTTGCATTATTTCATAAAAGTTTCCCCCAGATTTCTTGATATTCCTAATACTTGGTCTTAAATGCATCACACTTTATAAAAACAACTTTACTTTACTATCTTGTATTTAAGTCACCTTCATTTCCAAATTTGTTCCTCCTCTTTCTCTATCTAGAGAGCCATCTCTTTTAATAAAGAGAAAAAAAGCAGTTATCCAAAACAAATCGATGCATAAACCAAGTCTCAAATTACAGGCAATGTTCTGCATCAAGCTGCCTACTTTTCCAAAGAAGGGACATAAGTGCATTTTCTCTTCTTCAGAGTCAGCCTTGCTCATTGTAATTATACTGCAGTTAGTTTCCACTTTTAAAAAAAATTTAGATTATAATCATTGTGTACGTTTTCTGGTTTTCCTTTAATTTGTATCATCATTTAACTGACTGCTTTTTGTGAATTCTTCATAGTCATTTGTTTCTTTTGGTGAAGTAATATTCTATAACATTCACGTACCATAATTTGTTTAGCCATTCCCCAATCCATGGACATCTACTTTGTTACCACAAAAAAGCTGCTGTAAATATTTTAGTGTACATGGGACCTTTCTTTCTATCTCTAAACTTGTAATATATGGCTAGCAATGGACTCTTTCTCTGAATATGGGCATTTTAGTAATTTTCTTTGCATAATTCTGAATTGGTATCTAGAATGGTTGAATCAATTCAAAGTTCCACCAATAGTATGTATGTCTTTCTACAAGCCTATCAATCTGACTATTTTTATGTTTTGTCAACTTTAATTTCCTGGCTGTGACCTCAGAATTATTTTGATTTATAGCTCTCCTATTATTAGTGAGTTGAAAAAATCTTTCATATGGTAATTAATAGTTTGCAGTTCTTTTTTAGAACTGTGTGTCCATACCCATGGCATAAACCATTGGGGAATGACCCCTGTCTTATGCATTTGTGCTAATTTCCTATATAACTTGGATTATTAATTCACTATCTCACCACAGAGGATCCTCCAAATCTTTTCACCGATCTTTACTTCCCTATCCCCACCCTCTCTGCTGAGATCCATGTCTCAGATTTAACTGGGAAAAAAAAAAGCCATTTATCAAGAGCTCCCTCTTTTCTCCTCCTCATCTCGTATTACCCATATACCTTATGCCACTATCTCCCATCCTTCACTCCTGTCTTACATTAGGAGGTGGTTTGCAAACTCCTCCACATGTAAAAGTGATACTATTCCATCCTACTTTTTCTAGCAGATTGCCCCCTCTAGCATCCTCATTCTCTCACTTATCTTCAGTCTCTCCCTGTCTATTGGCTGCTTCTCTGTTGCCTATCAACATCCCCATATTTCCCCATTCTCAAAAAAACCTCACTTGATCCATCTGTCCCCACCATTTATCGTTGCACACTCTCCTCCCTTTTGTGGCTGAACTCCTCGAGAATCTCCCAAATCAACAGATTCCTTTTTTACCTGAATTACCTTAATTTTGTTTCTGCAAAAGCCTTTCAGTATCATGTTACTGAAATTACTGATTTTATCTTTCATGATCAAGTTTTCTCCTTTGGTTAAGAACTTCCCCCCTAACTGTAACTATGAAAGGTACTTGATCTGCTTCTGAATTTTTTTATGATCTGACCTTAAACATTTAGGTCAGACATACATTTTTAGGTTATTATTTAAGTATTTCCATGTCAGAAATTTAGGTTGTTGATTTCCCCCCAACCTAATTCTATATAATAGTGCCATGAAAATCTTTGAACAGATATTTCTTTTTGATAACACTTTCAGGGTACAGTCTCATCAGTAGAACTACTAAGTCAGAATGATCATTTTTATAACTTTTCCTGTGTACTGCTAGATTGTTCTCTAAAAAGATTCGAAAAGTTCCCAATTCTACTAGTCACAAAGCCATATTGCTTCTTTCACAACCCTACCAGCACTGTATTTTCTTCCTTTTCATTATTTTTGTCAACTGGAAGCCAACTGCTCCATTTTAAAGATATGGAAACTGAGACTCAAAAAGGGCAAGCAACTTCCAAAATGAAAGAGTGAGTGCCAGAACTGGGACTCCAAAAAGAATGTATGGGGACTTTTCACTTCAGATAAAGACAATTAAAACCTCTTAGAAGCCAATAATTTCTTGGAATATGTTTGTAACACTGAATCAGGGTTAGGAACTTAAGATAAGTATTGAACCTTACAAAGAAGGACACATTACACCGACAGATGCTTTAGCTCTCTAAGTCATATAGTAGGACCCGATTATTTGCAGGTGTCCTGCATTTAAGTAAGATTCTTTTTTCTCATTTCCTTAACCAAAGCTTGTTTGACACAGCTCTTACCTCAATGGAGCTTGCAATATTCAAACATTCTTCCATTCCAGGAATGTCCAACTGAATAATCCGCAGATCTTTGCATTTTATAATTATCGTACCCAATGATCCCACGAACCTGAAATACAGTACACCATGCTCAAGGACAAACAGAAACATCGTTTTAAGTAGAAAACTCCAATCTGTGAAAAAGTACTCATCTAACTATTCAACACTACTAATAACTACAAAGCCTTCTTTCTGAAAAGACGTGTCATACAATAAAATCTAAACTCAGACTAACTGGGGGAAGGGAATCCATAAAAAGTATTTTCAAACAAATATGTTGTTACTTTAAAATATACACAAAGTAATTCAAATTAGGCTAACTCACATAGTAGACTTCATTAGGAAACTTGATATTAAAAATAGATAAGAACGATTTACCGTAACTGTTTATTCCTGAAAGATACTTCCAAAATTCAGTACAATTCCTCCACAACTTATTTATACTACTTTGTACTCTGGAAAAAAATTTTTAAAAAAACAAGAAAAAACTTCAGAAAGGCCCCATGTTAGTTACAAAAAATCTAAATTAGTGAAGTCCAAATTAATTAAGTTTTATTGAATTAGAGTTTTTCTTGCTGACATCTCAGGGCTTTTCCTTTGCCAATATTCAATCCCAACTTTTTCCCATTAACAATTTTTGATGCTATCTTTGTCACGAAAGTGACAGAATCTGAGCTAAGCCCTAAAGGATGGCTATGACTGGGAAGAAGAGAATAATATTTTAATCTAGGGCACGAATTAATATAAGCAAAGGTTTATAGTTAGGAATGGGTATGGTAACAACAGAGGGAAATAGAACAGAAAGTTCATGAAAAATGTGGATACTTGGGTTCAAAAGTTAGTAAAATTAATCAAATAATAACATACGTCAGATTGGAGGTAAAAAACACTGAAGAAAAGGAGACCAGTTAAGGAGCTGTTTGAGTAGTCTAAGTATAAAGTCATCAGGTCATGAACTAGGGTGATAGCAGTGAGGATAGAGAATGGGCAGATATAAAAGATATTTCAAAACAATAATTAACAGTATTTAGTAACATTGAATATACGGAAGAAAGAAGAAAGAACCCCAGTGATTAATCAGGCAGTTTCAGTATTAAAATGACTATATAGACAAGGCCAAGGAAAAAGTTGTTGGATTACTTTATATAAATAATATGCTTTAATTAGATCTACAATGTACTACTCCTGTGGGTTATCCATCAAGGAACAGAACATTAATGATAGACGCTTTGGACATAAAAGCACTTGGATATTTTCATGCATTTGTTCATGCATTTATTAAACGTTTACTAAGCACTGGCAGAGATACAAGGATAAATAAGACTCTTCCTAAGTGGCTTAAAATCTAATAAAAAGAGAGAATATAAACTGTTAGTAGATAAGAAACTAGTCTTTGCCATTGTCATGGTTCAGTGTTAGGTATTTAATGTTCTTTTATGACCAGGAAAATTCAAAGAATAAGAAATTCAAAAATTATCTTATTCCTTTCTTTGGTTACTTAAGTAATCCTCCCATTTCCCCTACAAAATGTAATTTGTAAAGATAAAGAAAGAAGCTTCCTATCTTGAGGATCAAATGAGATAACATTTATTTTTTTTAAAAAAGTGCTCAGCACAGTGCTCAGCATAGAGTAGATGCCATATAAATGCTCACTCCCTCCTAGCAATTAATCAGCTTCCTTAGTCTTTACACCTTCCACATAACTCCCATATTCCCCCAGCTACTAAGTTTATTCTCTTATGTAAAAAGCAAATTTAAAACTGGTCAGCCTTCTTGAAATCCAAAATTTCTCAGACTATAAATAACAACCTAATTTTAAAAATTCCATTTCTGGTATTGTATAATATTAATTAAGCCAAATTAATACATAATACTTTTACAGGTTAACCAATCGATTTCTATAGAGGCATACAAAGTTCAGGAAGAGAATTTGAAAACTCCAAACTTCTAACAGTTTAAAAAAAACCTGCCATATAGTAAGGATGTTTGTTAACCTGAAACTACTACTGTACAATTTTTACTACACTGCTCTCAAGGAACAGGAGAGAATTCCCATTCCCCAGGCCATCAAGCTCCTAACACACTCTATGCTATTACTCAGTTTCCATCAGTACAGAGGCCTCCAGAAGAGAAAGCAAGAGGCTTCTAGGTAAAATGTTTTTATGTGTACCACCATAAAGACCAGGTTTTACCCCTACAAAATTCCCACTGCAAATGCATTACTATCAGTTAAGCAGATGGTGGTATCGTGGTGGTGGTACACAGAGTGCTGGGCCTGAAATCAAGAAGACCTGACTTTAAATCTGTCCTCACATTTACTAGCTGTGTGACTCTGGCAAGTCACTTAACTGCCATCTGCCTCAGTCTCCTCAACTGTAAAATAAGGATAACAATAGCATCTACTTCCCAGAGTTGTTCTGATTCTCAAATGAACATTTGTAAAGCTCTTAGCATGGGACCTAGCACATAGTAAGTGCTATATAAACATTAGCTATTATGCTATTATTATTATAATTCTTGACTATTAGCAACTAAGAAAACTTGTGGATACTGTCATCAAGTCAGTCTAGAAAAAATGGTTTTAAAAGAGATGTAGATCCCTGACTATTTTTAGAACCTTCCACACAAGGATCTCAATACTTTTTCCTAGGGCTTTGAAGAGTTCAAAGTCTACTTCTGGAAGATCTTCATCAGTGGAAGGTGTTTCCACACAGATAAAATCAGAGATCCAGACCAGGAAAAAAAAAAAAGAAATGACAATGTCACTTAGGCATCAAATTAATGGAATTCAAATACAACCATGACAAAAGAAACTGACATGAAGTTAGATCTCTTACAAATGTAAAAAATAACAAGCAACATGGGGAAAAATATCTCCATTTTGGAGCTTATGATCCTTTTTATTTCTTCTTGAATGGAAGGCTGGCAGAAGAAAAACCAAAGGCAATGTAATAAGAATAGTTATGATAAAGAGAAAGGGAGGATTGAAATAAGGCTGTGCTAGTTGTATATCTTGTCTCCTCTACTGGAAAATAAGCTGAAAAGCTTGTGTGGGTGCTGAGAAAGTATAAAGTCTTTATACCTCTTCTTTGCAAACCCTACAGTGCCTAGCACTAACACACAGACATACAGGCACTCAATTTTGGAGCAAATGATAAATATTTGAAGTAAAGAAGCAAAAAAGGACAGGGACAAAAGTTGCAACTATTTATATTGGGAAACAAGGTCTCCTGATTAGCCATTTTACTATGTTGTATGATTTGGAGGAAAAGAGGTCTTCCTAAATTCACCAATAATCTCTCCCACCAGAAATTTCACCATTAGATATTCACCTAAGGCACTGCCTTTCTAAGTATCCTTGTTAAAATCTAAGTGTTCCCTGTATGCAAAACACATCAAGATGTTGTCAAATATTTAAATGTTTAGTTTATAACTTTAAATTTCCTCCTGGATAGCTAGGACTAACTAATACTAAAATAATTAGTTGTACAAATCACTTCCTTTTTCTAAGCCTCAGTTTCCTCATCTACAAAATGATGGGGTTGGGCTAGATGATGTTTAAAATCCCTTTCACTTCCAACATTCTACAAGTCTAATTTCTGAGGGGAAACAGGAATTTTAATTTTAAAGATAGTTAGGCTGAAGATAGCAGAAGTGAGAGGTGGCTAGGAACTAAATGGTCTCTGTTTCACAAGTCTGCCTAGGGCAGCACCTGTTGGGGAAGACCTATTTCTATCAATGAAAGCAGAAGTAGTCGATTATAAAGATTGTATTACTGATACAAACAGCCTGAGCAAAGGCTAGAAGATAGGAGATGGAATGTCCTGTGTGAAGAACCAGAGAGCCAATTTGGAAGAACCGTAGATAGTGTGTGCAGAATAGTTAGGTATGACAGGTCTAGAAAGGCAGCCAGATTACAAAGGAGTTTATTAATTGATCCTAGAGATAGAAAAGAGCCACTAGAATTTATGAAAGGGACGTGACAAAGTGCTTTAGGAATATTATTTCAGCAGCTGTGTAGAGCAGAAGTGTCAAATGAGTGATCCATATTAAAATGTAATTGGGAAATGTTTAACTAAATAAAAATACTACAATGTTCATTTATGGTTTTCTAAATCAATCAATTTCTGTTGAGTTTGACACCACTGGCAAAGAGGATGAACTGAGGAGGGGAAAGACTGAAAAATGGAGAAACCGGTTAGGCAGCTACCAAGAATCCAAAGGATATAGGGACTGAACTAGTAATGGAGAGAAGGGAACAGATGTAAGAGGTTGTGCAGGTAGAAATAAGAGATGGCACCTAACTAGATGCATGGAGTGAGGCAAAGTGAGGGGTCAAGGATGTCGCAGATTTTGAACTGGGCTGACTCGAGGATGGTGGTGCTGTCGATAGAAATAAAAAAGTTCATCAGAGAAGTGGAGGAAGGGGGAGGAGGAAAGATAATGATAATGTTTTGGATGAGTTTGAGATGTCCATGGGTTATCCAATCCCAAATGTCCAATAGGGAGTTGCTGATGTGGGAATGAAGTTCAATAAAGAAGACTACAGTTAGATGTAGATCTGAGAGTGGTCAGGCTAGAAAGGATACTTGAACCTACTGGAGTTGATAAGCTGACCAAGATAAAAGAAAAGAGGACCCAAGACAAAAAAAAAATAAATGACTTGCATAGCTAATATTAACTAGCTATCCAGGAGAAAATTTAAAGCTACAAGCTAAAAATGTAAACATTATGCCTTGGGGGTATAACAGGATAGTCAAGTGACAGATGAGCAAGATAATCCAACAAGAGATTGAGACTGATGGCTCAAACAGGTCTTAGAACAGAAAGTTCCACAGTCTTACTCAAAAGTTGTTAAAAGCATTGTACAGATTCTACATTACCAAAGAGGCAATATGCAAATAAGCCTTACTATCTCAATTTTACAACAGATAAAGAAACTGCTGTATAATCAAAAACGATGAAGGTTAATAAAGAATCCATTTGATGCTATGCCTCAAAATGGAGCTAAAATAGAATGGTTTAGAATAACTGATGTGCAACAAGTCTGTGATATACAGGCAGCCTAGAACTAGGTTCCCCTCTTAGGCTATTTTTTCTACTTTTCATGTTTCGCACAATTCAGATCCAGAAACGGCGCCTTCTTCAGGAATTCAGAAGCTGCTTTGCAGACAAAAAAAAAAACTACTCCCTCAATTTCTTAAGCATTTAATCTGTTCCAGGCCCCCGGCTAAACGCTGGGGATACGATTTTGATATTGATACATCTACTAAGTGGTAGGCACTGGGTTAAACGCCCGGGAATACAAAAAAAAGGCAAAAGCTTACAACAATGGAGGGAAATATGCAAATAAATGTGTACAAATAAGATACAGGCAGAATAAATTGGGGATGGAGCTAGAAATGGCCTTTGAGATCAATCTACTCCAACCCCCCTAACCCTTTTAACAGATAGGAAACTGAGGCCCGAACAGGTTCTCTGTCCGAGCTCACACTAGGGCAATTTCGAGCTGAACTCACCGCTTTTCGATGGAGTCGATGTTGGAATGGAGCAGCCACAGCTCCTCGGTGTTGTCCTGCCGGGAGGACAGGATCAGGTGATGGCCGGTCAGGCACAGCGTGCCTTCCACAGCCGGGTAGAAGGGCCGGTGCAGCACCACATTGTCCACTCGCGGAGTCTTGATCAGCTCCGCGAACTCCATGGCGGCCCGGAGCCGGAGGAAGGCGCGGCGGGGCCGGGGTTAGAGGCAGGGCCTGCTCCGTCCTCTCTTCCCTCCTCCCACAAGCTCCCGGCGGCCGGCCCCGCGGGCCTGGTCCGGAAGGCCCTGCCTCTCACACCAGCCCCAAGCCGGAGCCTCAAATGTCCACAAGCTTGCCTCCCCCGGCAACCCCGTCTGAGCGGACCTGGGGGGGGGGAGTGGGGGATTCTCTTCCTGGGAGCAGGTAAGGACACGGGATCTCAGGCCCCGCACATCTCCAGGCCGCTGTCCGCTCCGGGCGGAAGTAGCTGACGCCCAGCCCCCGCGGTCGACTGCGGGCGGAAGTAGCTGACGCCCAGCCCCCGCGGTCGACTCCGGGCGGAAGTAGTGGAGACCGACGGGTGAGACTAGGTGTATGGGTCTCGTGACCGGAAACGGTGCCCTCAAATTTAAGTTCCTACTCCTCTCACTCCCGTTTCCTCCTCATATGGGAAGAAGTAAATGGGAAGTCTTGTCCCTGCCACCCTCGCTCCCCTGAGCCTCAGCAGCCCGGGAATAAAGGGGCCGTAAACCTGAGCGCGCCAGCCGTGCGAAGCTCGGGCAGTGACGCCGACGGTCACATCCCGCGTGATTGAAACGTGCAAGAAGCTGGGGCTACGTACCCCGGGTTTAGAGCTGGGAGGGGTTAAATGTCTAGTCCAACGCACTCTGGAAACTGAGGCCCAGAGAGGACTGATGTGATACAGTGAATAGAGAGCTACTTACTGTAGGGGGAGTCAGGAGCTGGGTTCAAATGCAGACAGGTGGCTGCAGTTTAGTATCAGCAGACAGGTGGTGCAGTAGCCACTTAGTGACTAGTGGCCAGAACTGGGTTCAGTGAGACCCGAGTTCAAAACCTAGCAGTGTGACCCTGGGCAAAGAACTTAACCCTCAGTGTCACAGTGACCACCTCGCAGGGTTGTTGTGAGGCTCAAATGATAAAATGTTTTTTAAAGCAGTAGGTGTTTAAGACATGCTTCTTCCCCTTCCTCCCCTGCCTCTTTCCTTTGATTGAAAGAGGCTGCGTATGAGACTGTAAATCTCATACTACTTGCTTTTTATTTTTATTCTTCTTGATTTAAAAAATATACAATAAATTACATATATTAATTTCAAAATTGTCCTGCTTTGTTCTGGTCTTTTCTGTATATTTTAAAAATATTTCAGTATTTTGGACATTGCTATTATTATTTTCTCTGCATCCTCATCCCTCCCAATTAAAAACCCAGAAGGAGGGGGGAAAAAAACCTTGTGACACATAAGCATAGGCAAGCAGAAGGAATCATGGGTCCTTTGGAGACGTGGTTGGTCGTTGCATTGATCAAAGTTCTCAAATCTTTCAAAGTTGTTTTTATTTAAAATGTTATCATCTTTGTATAAATTGTTCCCTTGGTTCTGCTCACTCCATTGTATGTTAGTTCACACTACCTAGGACTGTCTGAATTCATCCCTTTCATACTTTTTTTTTTGCTTTTTTTGGTGAAACAATGGGGATTAAGTGACTTGCCCAGGGTCACACAGCTAGGAAGTGTTAAATGTCTGAGGCTGGATTTGAACTCAGGTGCTCCTGACTCCAAGGCCAGAGCTCTATTCACTGTGCCACCTAGCTGCTCCCATTGTTTCTTATGGAGCAATAATATTCTATTACATTTATGTATCTCCTCTCAGAATAAGTTTTTCTTTCCCCCTTTAAATTCATAATTGGGGCAGCTAGGTGGTACAGTGGATAGAGCACCTGCCCTGAAGTCAGGAGTACCTGAGTTCAAATCCAGCCTCAGACCAAACACTTGACACTTACTAGCTGTGTGACCCTGGGCAAGTCACTTAACCCCAATTGCCTAAAAGCAAAAACCAAAGGAAAAAAATTTCATAATTGAAGGAAATTGTGGATTTCAGTTAGAAGTTAGTGAAAATAAAAATGTAATTTTTTCCCCTTCTACATTCACAATTCCCTGAAATCTCTTCACTGACTTGCCTTATTAGATTAACAAGCATCCTCTTACATTCTAGTTCTTTTCTTTTTCCCTTTTCAACCCCCCTTCAGGATTAGGAAGTTTGTTTTGCTTGCTATTAATGCCTCCTCACTATTATCCTTACCATTAACTCTTCTTCATCCTTGTTTAATTCTCTGTTGAGTTTAAAGTGTTTCTACATCACACTGTGTCTATGTATAAGTGTTTATCCCCTTTTTTGTTTCAGATAAGAGGAAGATTTACCTGCCCACTCCCCAGACCGCTTCCTCCATATTTATATACTCTTCTCACACACCTGAATTATGAGAACTAGGAAGTTCAATGCTTCTAAACCACTTTATTCCTTTTGCCTTTCCCTTTTCCCTCATTAGATTCTTAGAACAGAACCAGTCTACCCCAAGAGCTTTTTTTTTAATTTAATTTTCTTAATGCCCTTTGAAGACATTAAGGTCCAGAATAGGCATTTGTTTCTTCTTCCCCTTTAGAATGTTAACATCATCTTATAGCCTCTTCCAATTGCTCAAATAAAATTGCCTGTTTAGGTTACTCTGGATTCTTGTGTTTGTATTTCACAATTCCTACTTAGTTTTATTGTTTGTTTTTTTTCCTTCAAAAATGATTGAAAAGCTGTTCTGGTGAAGCTCCATTCCTCCCCCGTAGGATTATATTCAGCTTTGCTGTATGAATTATTCTTCATTGTAAGCCTACCTCTTTTGTCTTTTAGAATATTGCATTCCAGTATTTCTTCTTGTTGCCAGGCCTTATGTAATTCTGCCCACATTTCCTTGGTACATGAATTTCTTTCTGGATGTTTGCAGTATTTTGGTTTTTTAACTTTGGATTTTGGCAATAACATTGCCAAAGTCCTGGAACTTTTCTTTTTTGGGATAACTTTCAGGATTCTTTCTAATTTCATTTTGCCCTCTGGTTCCTAGAGCTCTGGGTAGTTTTCATTCATGATTTCTTTAAATATAGAGTCTAGCTTTTAAAAAGAAATTATTTTTAAAGAGTCCAATAATTCTTAAATTCTTTCTCATGACTTGTTTCCCAAGTCGGTTGTTTTTCAAATCACTTAAAAAATATCAGCTATCTAACATTTTCTTCTTTTTTTTTTCCAACTTTTTGATTTTGCTGTAATATTTTTTGCTGTCTTCTGGAATCATTGATTTCTCTTTGGTCTATTGGTCTACTCTAGTTTTCAGGAAGTCCATTTCTTGGGGAAGGTTTACCATTTTCTTTTCTAAGTTATTTTCCTTTCAATTTTTTCCTCCAGAGCTTTTTATTTTACTTTTGTATATTACTTAATTTCTTTTAGATGTTTGCATTGTCATTTTGGAAAATTCACTTTTCTCTTTCAGTCTTTATTTACATACCTTATGTAGTGACTTTCTCCTTACAAGTTAGACTTCAGGGCATCTCTAGATCTACAATAATTTTTGGTATTCTGTCTCTGTCATCTTTGGTCTCTCTCTCTTTTTTCTTTTCTTTTTTTTTTATTTATTCATCTTTCCAACCTTAGTGCTTGAATTAGAGCTTTCTGTAAGAGCCAGACTCTCTTCCCTTCTGTGCTTTTGGGTGGGGTGGTGGGCCCTACTTGTTGTTACCTTACATCCACTGGATCCTGTGCTATCCTCTACCATCTGGGCTTAGGCCCCCCTGGATCTTTATGTTTCAGAGATCTTCTGAGTACTGGATCTTCAGGGCCCAATTTGAAATAGCAGGCCAGAGTGTCAGGGACCCATGCAGGTCTCAGTGGCTATGCGTCACACCCATCACTGCCATGTCTAATGACTTTCAAAGTTCCTGCTGTTTTCTGACCCCTCTTGGGCTTTCTGACCACCCCAAGGCTTTCTTGGGGGGCTTTCTCTTTTTTTGCTGGCTCTGCACACAGACTTAAAGGCTAAATATGTCACTGGTAATGCCAGAAGGGCACTGGCCTGTTTGCCTCTGCTGGTATTGGTTTTGCTGGTATCCCCCTTTCCTATTACCTATGAATTTCTGGATGGCTATTTGTACAGTTTCGAGAGAATAAGTCACTTATTGTAGTTTCTCATAAGATTTCCTAATCATTTTTCAAGCTGGTGCAAATTTCAGGTTTTTGCTAGAAAAGATATATGGGAGCTAGGCAGTCTTCCTCAGTTCAGGCAGCCATCTGCTAGTTCCTGGCAGCCTCAAATCTGGTTGATAATCCTTATCACAAACACATATACATTTTTTTTTTGCCTCTTTACTGCTTCTTCCCTTCTGGCCAGATTTAATCAAGTAGAAACATTTTTCCTGGTTTCTGTCTGGAGAAGAACACATTCATTTGGTCTCACCTAAAATGGGTCTCATGTTAAAAGTGACTTTGTTATCATGATTCCTAGAAAGAGCTTTGAACTTAGAATCAGGAGTGCTAGGATTGAATTCTAGTTCTGATACCTTCTGTCTGGGAGACCTTAGGTGAATTAGTTAACCCCTTTAAGTTTTATTTTCCTCAGTGGTAAAGGTAAAGATCTTTTCTAAGGACCCTTACAGCTATAAATTCAGGAGCATATCACCTGGAGAGGCAAGATAACTGATCTTCAAAGGATTCAAACTTCAGAATGATTGCATTGATCTCAGAGGTGTCACAGAGAGACTCAGCATGACTGGGGATAGCTAATAGATTTTATCATTTTGTTGAATAGCTGAACCAATAATTATACATCATGGGACGTTGCTTATTAAAGGTTGTACCATGTGTTAAGGTCTGTATACATGACTTATCAGAAGAAATCTTATATTCTATAATTACGGGCTTTATTCATATGTATGCTCTTAAGTACCTGAACCTAAAGAACAAAGTGCTATATTTTTGTAATTAGTGCTCTCCCTTCCCATCTCTTCCTTCTGGCTCCCATGACTTCCACCAAATCTCAGCTCATCTCTGACCTTGTACGAGACACTTTTTCTGTTCTGTTCTCCCTCACTGCTAGTGTCTTCACCTCCGATTTAACCTGTATATATCCTGAACGTACATAGTTATTTGCATGGTGTCTCTTCTGTTAGAATGTAAGCTTTTTGAGGGCAGAAACTATTTTCATCTCATCGCTTATTACAGTGCCTGACTCATGGAAAGTTCTTAATAAATACTTGGTTTGTTGTCGACTTCAAATTTTGTGTCCCAGGTGGTCCTGGATACTGCTCCAAGAATTCCCCGAAGGATTATAGAATGTGCCCAAAGGACCTCCTACTGCCTACATAAGTATAATTGCCATAGTTTGCCACATACCAAGCAATGCTAAACTCCCACTTTTTCTCCTATTCTCTAACCCAAGCTAGCGCTATGTTCAGGT